GGGGGGGGGGTGAAGGGAGGAATTAACTTTTGGTGATTTGAGGGAAGGTTTTAGGAAATCGATGATTTCTGGAAAGTTGGTTTTGGATTTTGGGTTTTGTTTTGTGTTTAGTTATTTATTTGGTTATTTATTTATTCATTTATTTATTCATTTATTTATTCATTGTACATAAACCCCACAGCATAATGCCAATTACGAAGTGAAATTTGATACATTCGGATATAGTTTTTTTTTAAATATTTCTTGTGGAAAATTTCAAGGGCTGTTGAACAAGTTTTGAGTTTTCTGAGTCATGAGCATTTAATTTTTGAGGGTCGGAGGGGTGGACGGAGTGGGAGGGGTGAAGAGGGTGGGAAGTAAGGAGTAATGAATTTTTGGTGAAGGAAGGCTACGTTCAATCGATGATTTTTGAAGAATTAATTTTGGTTTTTGGGAACGTCGTTGAAGGGAAGCGATTTAGGGTGAAATACTAAGAGCTTTTTTTTGTTGTTTGTTTTGGTTTCTTTCGGGAAATTTGTGAAGTTGTGTGAGGAGAGGTCTTGGGGAGGGGAACAACTTTTTTAGCGATTTCAATATGGGCTGAATTTTTTAGGAATGAATTCGCAAGGAAGGGTTTTCAGGAAAAAAATTGAAAATATTTCTTGTTTCATCAATTTATAATTTCATCAATTTTTTTTCATTTTTTCAGATGTATTCAGTGGTAAAGGCATTCACATTGGAAATTCACCAGAAGGGTGCTACTCTGGAGAGAATTTCAAAGGGTATGAGAAGATCTCTCGGAATTTTTGTCTGAATTTATCGATTCCGAAGCTATCAGCCAGACGATCAAAACAATTTTTGTTGAAATTGATCGAATCAATGTTTTTGAGTGGATAAATTTCAACAAAATGACAAAAACCATTTCATTTATTTCTAAAATAACGATTCCATCAATTTTACCCTTCCATTAATTTTCAAAATATCCGACTGACAAGTGATGCTACGAGAAAATGTCAAAGCAATATTTGTCTTCACGATTTCTCCCAGAAAAAATCTCAGAAAATTTGTCCTCAACACTAATCATTCACAAAATACTTGAATAATTGCAGAGAACTTCGGAGAAAGTGATCTAGACAGCTCTGTGAAGAGACCTTCTTCGTGGGGAATTTCCGGAATTCCGTCCTCTCCTAAAAGGTCCTTTAACACTATTCACCAACTCCAACACTTTCCCAGAAATTTGACAAAAGGTCCACCGAGAAAAATTATTTTCCGGCAATTAAATGTATTTCCAAATCCAAATTCCTTCGAGGCAACATAGGGAATAAAAAAATTCGATCTCCAGGGACTTAATGATTCTCAGGAATTTATTCCCAAGCACTCGCAATTGTGAAATTTAGTGTAGTAAAATACACTGGATTCAAGTATAAATTATATTCGAATGGGGGATGGGTGTTTCAATTCGAGGATGATTATTTCGTATCCGCTCGGGTTGTACCAAGCGCTCTCAAGTGTAATATAAGGGTCAGACCCTGAGTGTGCGCATATAAGGGTCAAAAAGTGGAGGTTAAAAAATGAGGGTCAGAATGTTAGGGTTAAAAAAAGAGGGTCAGAATATTAGGGTGAAAACATTAGGGTCAGAATATAAAAGTAAAAAAAGTGGGTGTCAGGCAGTGAGGGTCATATAAGGGCTAAAAACGGTGACCAAGCATAAAATATGACTTATATTGAGACCCTCATTGCCTGACACCCACTTTTTTTACTTTTATATTCTGACCCTAATGTTTTCACCCTAATATTCTGACCCTCATTTTTTAACCTCCACTTTTTGACCCTTATATTCTGCCACTCAGTGCCTGACCCTTATATTACACTTAAGAGGGCTTGCTACAACCCGGCCTGATACAAAACAATCATCTCCGAATTGAAATACCCATCCCCCAATTTTATACTCAATTCAGGGTCATTCTAGTCAGTATCCAATAATTGTTAAACTCCTTAAACCCCTTGACACGTCCCTGAAAAATCAAGAATCCTTCGCTCCCTCCAGAAATTTACTTGGCATGAATAATCATCCTTCTCACTCCTAAAACAATCAAATTAATATGCAATTGCAATAGCTGTACAACGTTGTATCGTTTTGTTAAGCGTGACTAAATACAGAAGACAGGAGAGACAATGGACTCGTGGGGATTGAACCCGATAGATGCTTAATTATTTAAGCGACACCGAAGTAGCGATTGATGGGTAATGGGGGCCCGTCGATCCAGAGGATTCATCCCTCCAACACGTGTACACTGTGACGCACCGTTTGTCGTGTCTGTTAACTCGATGGGAGTGATTCTGAGCGACACGTGAGGAGTCATGGATTAATATAATACTTTCCATCCAAATCAACCGAGTGGCTGAAACTGGTGGGAAATAATTTTTTTTCGCGAGAAAAAAAAATTCGCGAAAAATCGATTTTTGGAAAATTTCAGGACCGACATTCGCGGGGAGAGGGAGAGGGAGAGAGAGAGAGACAGAGCGAGAGGGAGGGAGAGGGAGAGAGAGAGAGACAGAGAGAGAGGGAGGGAGAGGCGGATTGTCGTGGTTTGAGCGCACTATGTCTCGCATATACGAAAACTCTAGGCAATAGTGCGAAGGGCAGTGGCGACTTGCGCGTGCGCTTTTTGCGAAAAATCAATAAAACGAAAAGCTTACCTAATGCCTGGTGTAACCGGAGCGGGTGCAGACTCCGCCTTCTCATCTAGTAGGTGCAGTTGGTCTTTCTCTCCGGCGCTGGGAGTCTCGCTCTTCTGCTTTTGTGGATATTAATGGGAGAAGGGGGAGAATGTGGTGGTGGCAGCGTCCTTCAGATAAATCCGGTTATTCTCCACCCGGCGTTTTCTGATTATCTAGATCGTTTAGATGATGGGGGAGGAGTTATTTGAATATCTGAGGCGTTTTAAAAATTATCAGACCGCTATTTTTGGGCAAAATTTTTTACGCAACTTCAATTCGGTGGAGAAAATTCGGGAATTTTTTTTAACATTTTATTTTTCACCTGGAAGTTGCAGTAGAAAATCGTTTTCTTTTTTTATTGGAGAAGCTTAATTTACGGTTAATTCAACACTGCCTCGACGTTAATATTTTCAACCTTTTCTTGAATATTTTGATTCAAAAGAATTTTTTTCAAATGGCACCGGGAAGAATATTTTAAATCGCAATTGGATTCATTTAAACAATTATTTTTCTAGTTGAGATCGCAAAACGATTGATCACTGAGAGAAAAAATTAGCTCTCGGGAAAAATCCTTCGGAAAAATGCAATGTCCTTATTGAACAATAACAAGTAATTTCTCTACCTCATCCTTAGACGCAGATACGAAGTAAAATGGTGAATGCGAATGTGGCATACCATGATTAGATTGCGGCTTGTGCTTCAGGCGTTCAGCCCACCCCGGACTAGGTACCCAGGCGCGTTAGCGAATTCGCTCGGTTGAGTGTTGACAAGTCCACATCCTCCGGTGCCTCTAGCGCCCGCGTACCTTGTAATTCTAACGAGCTTAGAGGTACGCCAGAATAACGCTGTGAATTTACAATTGAATTTGTCTCTTTTCCACGGGCCGGAGCGCTCCTCAATCGACAAATTATTTCTCAACAGACAAATTGGTATTCAAACGTTTCAAAATATTTTTCATCATCTCCACTGACGCAGGAAAACCAGATCAATCGAATCAAAATACTTATCCAAATAAAAAAATCCATCAATTTTTTCCATAAAATATTCTCAGTAATTTAATAGTAAATATTTATTATTTTTATTTCGTTTAAAAATTCTTCAAAAAAGCCTCCGAATTTTTCAGTGGATGTGAAACTAATAGAATTTTGTGGTGTTGAAGTCTTAAAATGTTTTTCATCCCCTCCCCCGCCTCCCAATTGCAAAAAAAAACAATCAAGAATTGCTAAAAACCCCCGAAAGAATTGAAGGACCGATTTTCGGCTAAATTTCTACATATACCTTTTATCGAGGGAATACGCGGACTGTGTTTGATTAAACCGTTCATTCGATTTTCGCGTCGGTTGCAGTTACACTCCGCCTCTCTCACAAACCCGAACCCTAAATTGACGCATATGCTCTCGTTTACTTTTTTTTATTTACTTCAAATTTCATTCCGTTAGTAAACCAAAATGATTTCTGCCAATCCCACTAATTTGAAGCTCCAAATTGGGGGAAAATTTGTTTCGATAATCGACCGCAAACAAGGGCCCGCAATATCAGCGAACGAGGTTTGAAAATTGTAAAATCGAATGAAAGTATTTTATTTTCAAGTTGTAGAAGGTGAACAAATGGAGACGAGTGTTTATGAAATCTTATCGCCTAGTCTAGTCGCCTTTGGGGCAAAATCATTGGGATGTGTGGAAAAAAATTGAAACGTTTATTTTATTTTGAAGATCAATAAATACGAGAGGATTTGGAGGCAATAAAAAAGAATTTTATGATAATAGAATTGTAGTTTTCGGCAACGGATATCTCAAATTATCTCTCTATATTTAAAAAATTCAAATCGACTTCTGGCGATGAAAATTCGGTACTCGAAATTGAGACTTCAAAATTAGGGGCACAAGGGTCAAAATAAGGATCACAAGGGTTAAAATAAGGGTCATTGAGGGCAGAATCAGGATCATGAGATTAAGGGTTACCAGAGTTAACCAGAGGATCCAAATAAGGGTCGCAAGGGTCAGATTGAGTGTCCCAATACGGTTCATGAGGGCAGAAAACAAGGGTCAAAATAAGGATCTCTTATCATCGCTCTATATTATACAAATCCAAATCGAGGGTCACAATAAGGTCGAATTAAGTGTCACAAGGGTTAAAATAAGGGTCATTAAGGTAAGAGTAAGGGTCAGGTTAAGTATCCAAATGAAGGTCACATGGGTCAGATTGAGGATCGCAAAGGTCAGATCAAGCGTCCCAATAAGGGTCATGAGGGCAGAAGCTAAGGGCCAAAATAAGGATCTCTACATCTTCCCTCTACATTATAAAAATCCAAATCGACTTCTGGTGATGGAAATTTGGCACTCGAAATTAAGACTAAAAAATTAGGAGTCACAAGGGTTAAGATGAAGGTCACAAGGGTTAAAATAAGGGTCATTAAGATCGAAATAAGGGTTATGGAGGTCAAAATAAGGTTCATGAGGGTCAGAATTAGCATCACGAGGGTCATAATAAGGGTCACCAGGGTCAAAATAAGGTTCATGAGGGTCAGAATTAACATCACGATGGTCAGAATAAGGGTCACGAAGGTTATAATGAGTGTCAGATTAAGGATAAAGTTGACACTATAGAGCCCTTGCAATACATAGAACAGCCCACCGGAGTCAGCTCGTCGATGATAATATCAATCGTTCATAAATTATTTGTTTCATAATTTCATCACCTCATATACTAGCTCATAATTTCGCTAAGCAGAGTGGCGACGGCAGAGCTCCCCAACCCCCCAAAATTATCATTTCTGACATCCAAAAAATGTTACCAGCACCCCCCTCCTAAGACCTCAAAAACTCCCCCCTACCCCCCATCCCAAAATCAACAATTCAATAAAAAAAAATGCCCCCACAAATTAACGCATCTTAGACATCCGCCAGTTGGTAAACATCCGTTGGAGGTCGAGAAAAGGGAAAGCGGAAAGTAAAATCCAATACAAAAAGTGTTGTTACAGGGGTAACGAACTTTTTACAGACACAACGGACCGCTGTGTGTGTACAAAAAAAACGAGGTCGGTGACTGTTGATCCAAAGGGGCTTCAACTCTGTAGTTTTCCAGTGGATTTTGCCTGGACTGTACACAGCCCTCAAGTATAAACCAAATGATCCCTCTCCCCTCTCCGTCCTTCCTTTCGTAT